TCGGCACAATGATCACCTGCCCATCCCTAAAAACATATATGTATACTTGTATTATATACAGGTGGTTATATTAACACCATTTTGAAAAGAAATAATCATATATTTTACAGTTACAATATTTGTTTGATTGTATTATTATCACATTAAAGTTTATTTTAACTTGTCAGTTACAAAACATATCAATTATTCAATTTCTTTGCAAATAGTGAAATAAATACTAATGCAATTAGTAGGTTCCCTTAAATATTCATGTTTTTCAATAATATGATTGATTTCTGTTATTATACTATAAAATTATCATAGTATTAATTGCTATTTTTTATTTGAATAAAAATTGGTAAACGTGTTACATTCGTATTTTCTAATAACATAATATTACAACTAGCAATTAATTGATAATTGGTAATTGGTTAATCAACCACAAATAATAGTTTTGGATTATATTCGGCAGTGCTGTTTTACTTTCTTATAAATTGTAATTAAATTTAGGCACTTAAAATTATACGGCAATTTTATAGTCAACAATTATTAATGTCATAATTTTTTAAAAGGCTTTCGCTGGTTATTTTTGTTTAAGGGTTGGGGTTTAGTTAGGTTACAGACTGTTGTCATTTTTACAAGTCAAACAATTTTCATTAATATTTTTAATAATACAAAAAGTTAATACATAAAATAAAATAATTCACCAGTATTTAAAAAAAATCGTATATACGTTTCATTTATTTAATAAATTAAAAAGGTAATACCTTTACTAAAAGTAGTCAGTTGGTTTGACATTTAAGTGTCTTTATTTAATAATATTTTATACATTATAGAATAATGCCGTTATCGTTTCAAACGTTTAATATAAATCGCAATTGGATATTAATATGTCTATTAACAGTCTATTTAATTTTCCAAATAACTTTTCATAAGAATACAATAAATAAATTACAATGATGACGATAAATGATGTACTATGTAGTAATTATTACAAAAAATGTATTTCCATACTCGCGTTCAATACTCGGTAAAAATAAACATTGTTTTAACTGGGACAGAGTAAATCCAGGGCGCCCCTTAGCTACAAGGGGTGACAGGGTAAGTCCTCGCTAATTTTGTAAGAAAATAGTTTAAAAAAATGGTTATTTTGGAACAGGTTAAAAGAATGTTTGGTTAATTTCTTTTGACGAAGTAGCCTTATTTCCGAGTATTCCGACAAACATATCAATTGGTTTTCTTGAAGACTGACTAAAGCAATTATAATGGTAACATTGTTTCCGAAATACATATCCGATATTTGTCAGTAATTTTTTTTAAAGCTTTTTGAGTTTAGTTTAGTTTCATTTGGTTTTTTAAATTAATATTTTTAATACAATTTTATTTTTAAATAATAAGTCACAAGTGATCAATTTTTATTATTCGATATTCAGTCTGTCCTCTGAACGTACCTATCTCCCGTGTCCAACAGTCAGTCCGGTCTACGATCAGTTGAACGTTGTCTCCCAAATCGCCGGTGTGTATACGAGTTGCGCTATAGCAGCGCACTCGAAGAAGAATATGTACGGCAGCAGGAGAATAGATACTAACAGAGGACTAGTGGGAGACTATTTACAATATTTTGTATAACACATTAGAGAAACCCTTCTGAAATTGAACGTCCAGCCCGTTTTAGGTATCTAAATGTTTATCATTTCGACTATGGACTTCCACCAACCATGGCGCCCGTTTATGATATCGCATTACGTAGTTAATGCTACCAACGTTTAAAAAAATAAATACTATACTCCGATGTATCGAAGAGTGTGTATTAAAGGGTTTTAGACGATTTGAATTACTATCATTCGTGCCTCCCGCTGGGGACTTGGATGGTTTTCATGTGTTTTCGAGCGGTTCGAGGGAGTTGGCATTATTTTGTTCACCCACCAAGTATAAGTGCATTTTATTTTCGTCGTTTAAGTTTATTACGTTCGATTTTTACGTAAAAGGTTCCGAAATTGTTTTTAGCAATAAAAGACCGCGTTGGCTTAATCTAATAACAGCAAAAACGTTTGATAATATTTAATTCAACTTATTGTTACCAATTAAACGTTACTAGGCGACTATACAGATTGTTCGTCGATCAGTGAGCACATGTTTCATTATATTGACTGTGTGTATTTATAAATGAATCGTTAAATTTTATAAAATTTCAATACTGTGTTAAAAATACTTGTGTTCAACTGAAATATTACAAAAATAACCGATGTATAAGAACGAACATAATTAAATTAATCGCTGTCGTTGGCTTTTCACGCATAAATTAATACGTTAATAATCCGATTAAAGTTGAAATATTACCGACGATTTTTCAAAGAGATCCACCGTTGAATATGTTGTCAATGTGTGTGTTTTAGGAGTCAATTAATTGTGAGATCGAATTAGGTTATCATCCGTGATAATTACATTAATCAATAATGCCATAAGAGATAAGAATTTTACGACCATGTTCAGTTTATTTAGTTGAGTAAAATTACAAATTTTGTCGACGAAATCCAAAGTCTTTTATAATATGCGCACATTATAGGGAAGATTATTTACAACTAAAATATAATAACAATTGAAATGGCTAATTTCAATATATATTGAAAGTTATATATAAGAAAGTATTGAATTGCAAAAATAGAAATAATTATTAATTAAGTTAAATATACATTTTTTTATTAAAATAGTTATTTCAATTATTATTCAAAACAACCCCTTTGAAAAATAACATTAATATTGATGTTCAATAGTTAAGAAATTATTTAATGCGCATTTTAACTTTTAAATGGTACCTAAATCGATAGTATGTGGGGAAAGACGTTGGTGGAAGATACACCTATTTATGTATGTTGTTCTTTGACAAAAAGTTAACGTTAAAATGTAACACCATTTTGATTATCAAAAACAACCAAACGGAATAATTTTTTTCCTTAAAGTCTATTCGGGTTAGGAAATGACCCGCTTCTTCTGTTGTATGAAAAAACAGCTGTAACGTGTCTGTGTTGGTGCGGTATAAGTTTCCGGTATAACTTTGATTGTGCAGGTTGACACGTAAAGTGTGTCAAAATATTATAATTAATATAATTTTCTGCAATGGTGTGTTATACTTGTAGAGTTTACGCTTCACGAAGACAGTTGTCATAAAGGCAATTTTATTATGGCAAAAAGTGCCGGCCGCCGCTGCGTCACTGTCGTTGTGATTATCGCTGCTGGAGAACGTTACACGGTTTTCAAATTATCTCGTTACGATTTTCTTCTTTCAATCATAAAGTTGCATGTTACAATAGGTCATGTATTGCATTGAACAATCGAAATAACGAACGGTATCGACATGCAATAAAATACGTCCGAAACATTTTTTATTCCGATAATAGGTAAGATATGAGTTTGCGGTCCAACAGTACGACTCTTCGGTACTGACCGTTTTTCGTGCGAACTGTAATAAAATCGACACCGAAAATCATCTTGTAAATGTTTGTAATCATAGAGATCCTGGTGGACTATGAGGGTGTGTACACATTTATCTTTCAAAATTTAATCTTTTCAAAGTTGGCCTAGTTGCACCACCACGCGAGGGTCTATTTGAAGTGTTATTAAATGAGGGTACATAAAAAAATGTGCAATCAAGAGATATAAAAAAAAAAAAATTCTGTTTTATTGATGGACCGAAGAATTCCAATACGTAAAATGTTGTATGTTTACTGCAGACATCTAATGGGAACTTTTTTTGGAATCATATGATATGATTGGAACAAGTGAAACAGGAGAGGAATTAATGAAAATAGTATTGTATTAGCCAAGCAAAAACATAACACGGATATATACACAGTTTTAAGTGACAATGTAATAAACATGGGTAAAATGTCAGGTTGGTGCCATTAAACTTGTAATTCTTACACGGATAATGTGCTATCTTGAGATTTTGTTAACTGTAGTTTAATTGGTCAAGTTAAACTAGATGGACTAGATAAGGAAAAAGAAGTATTGTTAAACATTAGCCATTAAATACAATTACTAGAAGACACGCGTTGGTATACTTACCGTGATTATTTTATAAATATTTCAGAAAACTTAATAGCTATGAAAACAATTCTAATGAATGAAACATTTTTTATTGATGATATTATCAAACGTTTATTAATAAACAGTTTCGTAAAAAATGTTCCAAATTCAATAAAAAATGATTTGACACGGTTTTTGTCAATTAATTCACTTTTGCCAGTCTTCTACTGCAGATATAGCGGATGCAGTTGAATATTGGTCGAATATAAAACTTCCAGGAGGATTTGAAAGTTTCCAGAAGAAAACATTCCTCGCAAATATCACATAGTATTTAATAACAGCAAATTTTCTCTATCAAGTATAATGGTAAATCATTAAAAAAAAATATTGATGTTCTTTACATAGATATAGTTAATGAGTTTTGTTTATTATTTTTGAGTGATGATTGTTTTAACAGCTATTAATTTTTAATATATTGTTTGAAATACACAGTGTTAGGCATGCCTAATACTTAGAAAAAAAATTAAAGCTAATGTATTATAATAATCTTTTTTCCGAGTAAGAATTAATTATTAAGACTATAATTTTGTTGTTGATATTTTTTTAAAAATTTTTTTCTTACTATAGTTTTTAATTTTGTTTTAAAAGGAACATGAAGTAGCCTTCTTATATTTTTTTAGAACTGAACAGTGAATGTTTTTATTATAATTTAATTTTAAATTTAATGAGTGTTTCTATTTATATGTTATATTTAGTTATAAATTATAGTTTAAGATCAAAGATTTAAATTTAAAAATGAATATTATTTTTCTCTTTAGTTTTAAAAATTTTAAATTTAAACTTAAATAAATTTCGAAGGTTTCGCGTACAAATGCTGTGTGTTCATTTCTTTTTATAAAGTATTGCAGCTAAATAAACTTGGCATTATTTATACTAATAGTAAAAATATATTGAATAAAGTAAAAACTAATATAAAAAGAACGCATTATGTTGAAAATTTTTTGGAATATTTAGTTATAATTTTGATGTTATTTATATTTTACAATTAAACTAGGATTTTGAGTTGATAAAAATGGTTTCGTCAAAATTATTTATTATTTTATTATTTATTAAATTTTCCTTGGCTATTGAAGTTTTAGAATTAAGTTGCACTTTTTCCAGATATATGTTAAACTATTTCGAACATAATGAACGCTATCTACTGCAATTAATAAATAACAAAGAAAATATTAATGAACATAATTTAAAGATGTATGGTGAAGCAATTCAGTCTCACAATGAAATTGTTTTAGCGATGATAAAAGCATTAAAAAATATGGATAAAAACTTAAAATTGAAAGATTTGTTTGCTATAAATTTGTATTTAAATAACATATCTGGATCTGTTGAATTTATCGCTAAAAATGAAAATGGTAAGTTTGACGGGAAACATTATTTAGAAAGGAAATTAGATGCTTTTATTATGTTTCATAAGATTATGAAAAATTATTTGAGAAATTCATTGGTAGCATGTGTCAATGTAGCATATGACACAGCGTTTGTTTCATGTCCCAACTTCAATAAATCAGACACTTATGACATAGAAACCCTTCAGTATACCACGAAGCTTCTTAAATACAGGTTATTAAATAGTACTGACGTAAAAGATAATCTATCGTTACTAAAAGAACAAGGTAAACTAATCGACAGTGAAGTGGTAAAATTACTAAGATTAGCGACACTAAAAAAGAAACATTTTATATACCACCCAAGATATATGTTGTTTTATGAATTAATGTCGCATCAACAAGAACATTTGGAACGTGATGTCATGATTGGAACTCAAATGAGACAACACTATAAAAATAATAACAATAAGCCAACACAATATTTAGATTTCATTAGATATGCCAAACTTCATTTGAAATGCCCTAATAATAGCTTATTAACGATTTCAGATATATTTCGGTATATGAAGTATAATTTCAGACCGATCGACGTAGAAGGTTTTCAAGAACTTGTAATCGCATCAACATTCCGTCCACTGGCAATACTTACACATTACTATGTTGCTTTTCTTAAAAAAGTTACTGCTATATTTAGATATTTTCATGGGCCCATTGATAAACTTACATTCTTTAATACGTTGGTTACTATGGGACCAGAAATATTAACTCATTACCATAATTTTTTGATATTAGAGTTATATCCTCAAGCAGCAAAAACGAACTTAGCAACTATACTTGAACAAATGAAATATATTCTGGAGGAATTTCAAAATTGTGTATTTTCTCATGAATTTTTTAATATATCCTATAAAATTATGGCATTTATACAAAGATTTATGGATGTTAACAGATTTAGTTATATTTTGGGTACGATTAGTATTACAGCACAATCTGCAGATACTATTAACATAACAGTAGATAATGTTGACTCAATAATGGAACAGTTAGTTAATATTTATGAACAAGTTACTATGTTTTCGAGTGCTTTACCAATATACGAAGACTTATTTAAAAATGTTTTAAATTCAAGAAACTTTTTTGACTTAACATTTGCCAAGTATACAAGAGTTTTATTTGAGATTGGAGACTTGAAAAGTATGTACATTTTAATTGTATAAAATGTAGCTAATTAATTTAGTAATTGAGTTTATTTATTTTCCAGTTATAGTTAAAATTTTTAATAAGTTGTTTGGCAGTGTTTTGTAATCTAAGCATTAATTACATTTGTAAAACATTTTCTTAACTTTAAATGAAATATTTGTTTATTTACTTACTAAAGTATTTTATATTTTTTAGACAAATTATGCTGTGAAGATATATACTCCGAAATGGAAGAAAGTAATGATTCTGTTGTACAAAAAGGCAATATTGATAAAATTAGTGTTGAGTCAGATAAAAATACCAATTATATTGTAAAAGATTTAACTGAAAACCATGATAAAAATAATAATTTTTGTTATATAACAGATTATGTATTACCTTATTGAATTTTAATGTAATATTTATGTGAAATATTTTTTACACATTTAACATCACTATCATTTAAAATAATTTATTAAATTAAATCACCAATAATGTAATATTACCAGGTAAATAACTTGTTAAATTTAATAGTAATACAAATAAGTACGTTTTATTTGATCTTAATTTTAACTTAAATTTTCTGTACCTTAAATCTAGACGGGCCAATTTACAATAATAAAAGTAAAATTCTATTTTCAAATAACTGTTGTAGAAAAACTACATATGTTGGTAATATCAATCGAGTTTCGTTTTAAAAAAAGAACTCTCATTCTACCGAAATAAAGTTAAATCATGTAGCTAGCATACTCATGAATTCTATAGTAGTTATTTGGAAATACAAATTTTTATTCTCTTATTTTTAGGCCCTTGTAGACCCAAGGTACAGATTTAGAGTACACAATTGCAACAAAATTGAAAAAGCAAGATTGCAGACAATTCTAAGTAAATTAAATAAGACAAATATATCAAATATTTCAAAAGTAGCAATGTAAAGTAATAATTATATGGAAATACATTCAAGATATGTATTGTTTTTCAATTTACTGACACACTAGATCGAATTATAAGAAAACTTGATGTTAACATTTCATGCGAGTAGTTCCCTAAAATGAATTATGGGTGACCAACAGATTATATTGATTTTGTACGATTTGATAGTCTTACTATAGACTATAATGATAATTTTAATTATTAATAATTTTAAAGTGGGAGGAATATAATTTAGACCCTTAAATTTTTTTTATGAATTGCGTTTAAGTTCTAGACATTGGAAAAATTTTATCTTTTCAGTTGATATTATTAGTTAGTCTATTATTTATTATAATATATCTATACTTGAACTAAGCAATAATTTTAAGTGCAGTTGAACATTGTTTGTGCAGCTGGCAAACTTTTTCTATAATATTATAATAAATATTCATATATGATTATGAATATATAATATCTATCTAAAAGTACAATGTTTAGTAAATCATGAATTTCAGAGGAAGGGCTGTGTTCCATTAGCCCCCATGGTTAAGTGTTGAAATAAATAATTCTTAGATTTTTTTTCTAAATTATCAAATCAGTTGAACACCTCACAGTATGGGGTAATAAAGCCCATTTTTATTTTTAGTTTTATCCTTAAATGTTATTGGAGTTTCATATTTTTGAAAGTGTAATAAATTTAATGATAATTTAATACATATACAAATAATATTTTGTATTTTCATTGTTAAAGTATTATTATAAATTAATGTGTATGAACAGTAAAATAGGTAAAATTTTTAAATAACTCTTAGGTTTATTGGTTATCTTAATTAATTAATTGTTAACTAATTTATAAAATATCTAATGGATAATTATTGCTGAGTTAATTAACTTGATAATTTAAAGCAGGGAGTTGTGGAAGCGAAGCCTTCACGTTAGCTAGTTTAAAATTTGAATCGTGTAACTAAAAAAATCTTTACATTATACCCTGACTTGAACTTATTAAAAAAAAATTGTTTTAAAATAATTTTAAATCGTATTTCTTTTGGAAATGATCATACATATTAAAAAATAAATAAATTAACTGATCTTAACTAAATTCCGTTTGGGATTCTTATTGTTTTTGATAGAAATAACGTTGAAGGTAAAGATGGTTCAATAAATAAGCCATATACTCATTTTAGGTATACAATAAATTATTATTACTTTATCGATTCAAAAAACTTTTAAATATGTAATTATCTGTGAGAATATATTTATTAAATGTTATTGTTATATAATATTCATCATTTTGTTATACAAATTTATCATAATAATGAAATGTAGATGTTTTAGTTAACGATTTATAATTAATTATAAATTTCATTTTAATATGAATATTAATATTAAATAAGTAAAAGAGGCTCTTTAATTTTTCAAGTAAACTTATTCATTAAACGCAATTAATTCTAAAAAATATTATCAGTTTGTGTTTGTTTGGTTAATTATCAAATGTAATAATCTACACAAAAATTCAAGTGAATAGTTATTGTGTTATTTCTTTTTTTAGTTATGGTATATTTTATGGATTCATTTTGTTCGTGCTATCATTGATTAGTACTACAAAACATAACTGTTATTACCGCTTTGATATTGAAAAGATCGAAGTATAATATAATAAAAATTTAAAGCTGCTCCCCAATAGTTTTGCGCGCCGACAAGCCCTCCGATATATTGTGTTACCCATCAACAATTCCCCGTGTCTTACTTTTGTAAGTACAATATTATCGTTAATATAATAGAAATCATACGTATGCATATATATATGACCAGGCCTCTTTTTGAATAATGAAATTGCACAACCATAAGACACGTCAAAGGACAATAGGTTTTGGAATTCGATTATTAATGCGGCGAAAGGCTCGAAACCGAAACAGCATGACACCTATAGTAACTTTCTAATAATTTTTTTAATTACTGACTTCAAAGAAATTTCCTTTTATTCAGATATACAATGAGTTTTTGGATTTTATACTATATCTATGTGCTCCGTACTGTTTTTGTTTTTATTTAAAGTATTAGATGGACTCACCTCGTGTGTAACGTTTATTACATTATTGAATAAAAAGTTGTTTATACTGCCATCAATAATCAGTCAACTCAATTTCTCAACAACAATTTGGTGTTTTTAATTTGGACGGGTTTTAAAATAACCATTTTTGAAGGTATCAATATTACCGGTCAACAATGTTTGTAGTTTAATATTTGCCTAAAGTTAGTTAAATTAATGAGCGTGAGGTATTGAACAATAGAATTTTGAAAATTGTGTTCGAAGTTTTTTTATTCATGGGGTGTCGACCATCGTTTAAAGAGATTAGTTTTTATATCATATAAGCCTTGTTACTGTGGCAGTTTACTATCGACCTCACAACGATAAACGTATAAAAGCGCATATTACATTGAAAACCGATATTTGTTACACCAATTAACTAAAGAATGGATGAGGATAACTAGGACGACTGCCGCTCGATTTACTGAAGTATTCTTTTCGCTTCTCATCGTTTATCCCACACAATGTACTGAACAATACCAATTGAACGCTTACACACGCTGAATTGTAAAAAAATAAAATGAGCAAATCTGGAAACACAATATCTAGAAAACTGTGCAATATTGTTAATAAAATAGTTAAGCTCCATGATATATTTTCCACCGTGGTATAATATTTTTTTAGACTGTAGTAATGTTCGTATAGTACTTTACATTGTTGTTGTATAATCAAAATCATTGTAATAATATAATAGTAATAACTACTTAAAACCACATTTAGGTTGGTCGAATTTTTCGGTGCGTGTATCTTTAAAAAAATGGTCTTGTTGAGCAAAATGTTTATTTAATACGTACATTTTTAAATAAATTTTTAGTAAATACTTTGCATTTTTACCACATTTTAAACCGGTGCGCCGGTTTTTTATTCTAATTACAATAAATTTTACTTAAAAGTCTAACTACATCTTCTAATGTAAAATAATTAAATACTACCATACATTATTAAATTAGAATATAACTATCCACTCAGTTTTGTTAGTCTTGGATGTTGCACAAACCAAAAGACAAAGTTTCAAAAGCTTAAGTGATATTTATCACTTTTATTAAAGGAGCACCATACTGAGATGGAGATCAGAAAAGGCGCTGCGAAAGTAATTAAAACGTCTGTGTATAAATCAATTAGTGTTGTTTTAACGCAATTTTCATTATCAACCGTTAGATATTAATATTATTTTCCAGGTATACGCCGTTTATACATTTTTCTTATTTTTAATTATCCTAGCTGGGGATGATACCAGTACGCTAAGTTTACTAAAAGATCACTTGTCTATGGAAAAACTTTAAACAAAATAATAAGAACAAGAATTGTGTACATAACGATAATTATTTTTTTCGTATCGTATTCATAAAAAAATCTTAAACTGAGTCGTATACCGAGTTCGCGAATTTCAGACGTTTAGTACGATTTTATTTCGTTTTACTTATTTGGTAAACTATAAAATATATCATTTTTCAAGATTCTCTTTACTATAAAATACCCTATCTGTGTCTTTTTTGGAAATCCAATGCAAAACAGTTAACTTTAATGGATACTGTAAATAATTAATTATTTTAAGTATTTATAAAGCCAAAACACGAGGAGCTAAATCATGGTATACGACACTTGTGGTTAAAAATTGTCAACGATATAATTAGTGATTATTTTAAAGTATCAAATATTATAAAAAAATATTAATATAAATTATATGCCAATAGAAGTCGACAAAAAAAAAATAGTATACATTAATTTCCATAAGAATAACAATATTTTTTGTTTGACAAGTATAATTTTAAGGAAAATAGAGTTTATTGTGTAAATTTAACAGAAAATTTAATACCATTTTAAAATGGCTTTCGAACTAAAAATTGGTGTTATTTGCATTTGATTTTTTTATAGTGGCTTTATCCAAATGATAAATGAATAATGTTACTAACACTCAACGATTATGTTAAATGATGTAAGCAAAGATATTTTTACCCATATTATGACATGTTAATTTTTTAAATTATTTACTCAAATTATATTTTATGCAGATATAAAACCTGTACTTCATCAATAAATAAAAAAAAAATCATTACTAGCATACCCAACCATATTAATTAAAAATCATATAATGGACGAATGTTTTTTGGTTTGATTGTTAATAATTAAAGCTTTTAAAATTTATTAAAAAAAAATAAAAAACTAATTTATCAGATTAATCTAAATTAGTTTTTATACTATACAGTTTTATTACATTTCAATATTATTACTATTCTCACAATCGTACAATTAATTATATCTAAAATTTTATAAAAGTCATAATAACTTACAGTTAGTTATAATTTAATATTGTACCCTAATATTTTTAAATTGTCATTTAACAATTCATTATCTTTGTATTAAACTTGTATAGATTATGTTTAAATATCCATGTCTCTGGAACTACATAGTCATAACATATTTGTTTGTTAAAATATTTTAAATTGCATCATTAGAATATAAATTAATCCAATATCTCTTAAGTTGATTAACTTCAAAATTGCAATCTTTCATCATTTTTGTCGGTCTTTCGACAGATCATAAATTAAAAAAAAATGAATACGTCGGTCTAATGCATTCTAACATGTTCATTATTTGTTGCCAAAATATTAATTTGCCAAATGTTTTTTTCTAATTTCTTATATGTTGGCTAATAATGCAATGAAAACAAAAAATGGAATTATAATCGGGTTTTGGGCACGCTTAGGGATCCGACAACTGCCTACTTGTAAAAAACACAATTGATCCGACTTATTAAATTAGGTAGGATATACAATCTAACACCTGTTTTATTTTTAATTCGTTGTACATACAAAATAGGAATAAAGAACATCCACCTTTAGAATGACACAGATGCCCAAAAGAGCAGAACCAGTTTTAAAAACTCATTAATTTCATTTTGTTCCGGTGCAAAAGTATTTTCTTCACTCGTCGACAATGTTTCAACGCAAAACGTATTATTTATTACCATAGAATCTTAGAACTAAAATGTTTTTATTTAGTAAAAGTCGTCGGTTTAACCTTTACTCTTAATAAAACCATGATTTCAAAAGTAATATTTTTTACATATTCGTTGCTTATAAAAAAAAAAGATATCGTTTCGTACTAGTCGAAAAATCGTTCAATAGTAATAAAATCAGAAATATTTAACTACTGAAAAATGTTTAATCAAATAATTCAGCTTTTATAATTGATAGTAAAAAATACAAAATCAAAAAATTAAACCTATCTAACAAAATATTTTTTTAACTTTATAATGTTTAATTGTATAAATGTTTATAAATCTGTCAAATAAATGTTACTCACGATTTAAGTACATTATTATTTCTGTGTAAACTTAGCTTATTTGAATGTCTACTCATACATCTTATTTCTCGTCCATCAATTATTTAGAGACCTGTCATTGCGGTTATCTCGTCACGTTTCACACCCCCCCCCCCATTTGACTCCAGTTCATAAACTAGAATACCGGCGGCAGTGTATCGTCTCCCTCGTTTATAATTACACGCATATATGCATCCAGACTTCTTTTCAGCTGTCATGTACACTGCCGATCACCCAAACAATAGTGTTTTTTATTGAAAAAGAAACGTTTAACGAAAATTATACAACAGTTTGATCGTAAATATGTTCATTATCGTGTAAAATCAATTTTTGATTCAGTTAAATTTTCATAGATCAAAACTGTATAACTTAAATGAATAAACGCCTCTTATTATTTACACTATTTAGGTAAAATAGTCACTTAGTAACCCATTTTATTATAAATATAAAAAAGATAAAATGAGTTATGATATAAGTTATATGTTTTAGAATAAGATAATTCATTCTTAAAAAAATGTACACATTTTTACAATTACAAAAATCTATATTTTATATGAAAATTACATTTATTTATTCGTTTGAAAATAACGTGTATATTAAAAATAATATAATGATTTATGGAAATTTCTGTATCATTTTTTTACATAATGATATATTTTTTTTTTCGATTTCATAACATGGTTTATATAAAAAAATTGCTTAATAAGTCATAATTAATTTTATTTTTATTTATGCTAGGTATGTATTGTTGGTAGTTAAAAATTACCCTGAGGACTTTATAATTTTTAAATATACAGTATGATTTTTCTCTAAAATGTATTATTTTAGAGAACAACTTATAGAGATTATACAAAAAAGTTTTTATAAAAGAAACATGGTTAATGTGCGGTTGGAAAAGAAAAACGATAAAGAAAAACGTTCCTCGTAAAAGTTTACTAGAAGAAAAATTTTAGATGCCTATTAGATCAACGTAATTATGACATCGATTTTAGAGATTTTTTTATTTTAAATTTGACTTTAGTTATGATGCACATTTCAAGTTTATACCAAAAATATTAATTTATATATTACTAAAACAATGTGAAAGTTTTCATGATTTTCGGTATAGTTTGATGAAATGTCCGTGATTAAATATTATTAATTGAATATAAATGAATATGTACAGACATTTAAAACATTGTTATGGATACGCTTCAAAAACACTTTTCGATAACGTTAGTCCGAAAAAAACAAATATCCAAAAGACTGAAGTTAAAATATAATTTCACGTACTCGTTTATAGTTTCACGATATAATACAACTCGTGTATCTGTTCAACATTTTTAATACAACCAAAGCAACTTGAGGTAATAACAATCTCGGATGCTGCAACTTATTCTGGTTTTAAAACTCTTTTTTTTCGGTATTATATAATTTCCCTCTGCAGGAGTGGGAGCTTTACGTTTATAAGGGTTATAAGTCATATCAGTCTCCTCAATGATTACATCTACCGGTATAACTTGATCAGTCTCAAGCAATGTATGAGGATCGTACTCCATTTCTTCATTCAAAACACTAACTTGACGAGGAATATTACAGCCATAAACCTTTTTGAATAAACGTTTTGATTCTTCAATTACAGAATTATATTTCCGTTGGATCAATTCGTTGTACCTTTTGTGACTAACACGAGGTAGTTTTGCCTTAAATTCATTTTTCTGGGAAACGTTTAATAAACCGCAAACGTCAGTATTATTGGATCTTAGATGACCTGAAAAAATTAATTAAGAGTTATCAAACGTTAAACAATTTTTTACTTTTTAAAATCTCGAAAAATAAAATACACATGAAAAAAAGTGTTTCAATATAATTGATATTGGTATCATAGAAGTTTTGATAAAAAGAAAACTATTGGGTACAATAAATGCAATAATCAGACGGTTTAACAAATGTTTAATATTTTTATTAAAATCTGTAACGACAAATGAATTTTTACAACCATAAATGTTTGATAAGTTTGAAATATTAAGGGTTAGTTCTGATACAAATATTATTTCATTTTACTCAAATTATTTAAATAAATTATACATAATTTTTAATCTACTAACCTTTTTGTCTTCTAGACATAAAATACGGATGATAATTGACTTTATCCATCTAAAGCTGACAGGAAATGAGTCAATGATGTGTATTTACAAAATAATACAAAACTTTTAAAAGTTTCCAAACAATTGAAAATACTGATCACAAATTTGTCTACAGAGCGTAAATTTTACAGCAAACGAAGTTAAGAAACTAACTAGAATTGTTTGGAACAAATTGTTTGTTTATTTTTTTCAAATTTTAAAAAAAATAACACTAGGTAACGAAATTAGCTTGTTAATATATTTTTATTAACAGTTTTTTCTAGAAATAAATATTAATGTTACTAGACACAATTTCATATTTTATCATTATTAAAACGCCCGTTAATATTTAAAACATTTCGTCATGTTATTAATTCAACTCAAAATTTCAGTTTATTAACATAATTCAAATTTAAAGAAGATAAAAGTAGCATGGTTTTATAATATCATCTAGTATTTATTAAATATTTTTTTAAATTTCCAAAAATTGTATACAACTCAAAATTAATTTTTTAACACAACACTTGATTTAAAGTCTTCAATAATATATCATTGTGATATAATTCAAATAAAAATTATATATAATATACCAAAGAATGTTAATTTACATATTTTATAATTTAATTGACTTCATCATAATAATTTTATATAATAAATTACTACACGTAGCTGTTTTGTACTCGAAACAAATATACAAATAAATGTACTTTTAATAATACAGACAATCATACTGTTTTATTTTATGTAAACTATGCTGTGATCACAGAGTAAAAACTTTTACCTCTTTTATGTGATTACAAGTAGGTACATTTTAGTGGATAAATGTGCGTGTAGACAATTTTTGAAATGATTTTCGAGAGACCAATAAAANCTCTTATATGTGATTACAAGTAGGTACATTTTAGTGGATAAATGTGCGTGTAGACAATTTTTGAAATGATTTTCGAGAGACCAATAAAAATACAATTTTATGTATACAGAGTTTGTAGATATTTATGTTGGTTANAAATACAATTTTATGTATACAGAGTTTGTAGATATTTATGTTGGTTACATAAAATTTTATAACATACACTTAATAATAATAACTTCATAAAAGTCATAAAAAATGAATAAGTGTAGACACTACAATGACCAACAATCGTATTGTATTCGACAATCATAATTTGTCAGAATGAAACGTTGTAATTTAAATCCTTAGCGACTGATTAAATCTGCAACACGAGATTATGAATATCCAATACGGACAAACACCGTCGGTGGCGACAACGGCGTCCGGATCATCGCCGAAGAATGTGACGGCTTTTTACGGTCTCTTAAAAAAACATTAATCCTTTAGCGTAAATCAAAAACAATATTACGACAAGAATTATTATCAATGTAATACTCGGACGTTATGGTTATTTTCACGGCCGTCTTATTTCTTTCTCTCTCTCTTTGGCGATACATTCCAAACGACCTCATTCGGTCGTCTCAAATTCATGAATGAAACTCTTATTTGTTTTAGGCAGGTATATACCTGTAACGTTGTATGTAAATTATGGACCGTTTCTCATACTACATATTTTTCTGAAATTTATTGTTTAACTTTATTATTGTAGAGAATATATATATATATATAAGACACGTATTATATTACCCGAATATTTGTACGGGGCGAGCTTATGTGTAATAATTTAAAAAAGAAGAGAGTCCATCCTACGGTATTTATTTAAGACTAAACAATTATGAATGATACGATCAAATCGATGCGGTATCGTCACTAGCAAAATGAAAATCAAAGAGGGAAAATCGAAATAGACTAGTCAATATTGTGTTTGGCGGTAACGTTTCCTCGATGGCGCTTCCGACGGCTTCGGTGGGTTACAGGGCAGCTCATGGGAATAAATACACACGACGGAGGCGCATGTGGAGAAATAACACCACGTGAGATCGTTGTGTGTAATAAGTGTGATTATCCGGACTCGTGTACACTTGTTTGGTATTTATATAGTGCTGGAAAGATATTATTATAGAAACACTCTCTAGAAATAATAGTGGAGACACTCTTTTAAGAGCGTAGTATTATTAATACAGCGGACAAAAAAAAATTATATTAAAAAGATAAATATTCATCGGTGGACAGTAGAGAGATGATGGTGTTTCAGTAGGAATTCCACTGTACCTATATCTAGTTTAAAATATATAAGAATAATCATAATCGTAATGATAATGTAGGTATTATAATATATTTGACGTTAACACAGCGGGGGAAGTTTAGACTGGTCCTTGTTTTATGCCAACAGATGATATATTGCCACAACGATGATTACTTCTCACCAGTCTTATTTTTCATTTATTTATTTTTCTTTCTCGGTTTTTTCGGCCATTATTATTCATTATTGGAGACTTACACGAAATAAATGTATTGGTACAGACGTCTATAAATATGACAAAATTGGATAAATTATAATACACACATACGTACTCCTCTAAACACAACAAAAAAATATCCATTAATCGCTTATGGTACATGGGAACACGAACGTAGCACGTTAAGGCATAGATCAAAATATACAAACTCAACTACCATAATGATATTCTTAACGTGTAAACGTATCATATAATTTACTATTAACAGTGGCGCATTGAGAGTTTAAGCGCCCCGGCGTAGTTTCATACTCCCTAAAAAAACTTTTTGTTTTGAAAAAATACATTTTTTCTGCTTTCTTCGAAAAAAAATTCCGGCTTAAAAATATTAGAATATACATTAATATAACACAATAACATATATTATAAATAGCATAGCATACGTACACTTGAGTTTGTCGGCTATCACGCTCTTAAATAACTCACAGGTATTTTTTCTTTTGTCCCCTTAAGCAGTTGAATCAGGTAGCACATTGTGTAAACATACCACTGGCTATTAAGAGCTATAAAAAATCTATTATTAAATAAAATTTATTGCGCAATAATTAAGAAAAAGTTAATATAATGGATCATTAAATAATTCGTAATTCAAAAAATGAAAATTTGTGTGTATTAAACACTGCGCAAATACCAATGTAAGCTCGTTAAAGTTAATGTACTTAATTTTAATTAAAAAGTAAAGTATAATCCTTTAGTTTTTTAATAATAACAATATATATGTATATATATTTTTTACTGAAAAATAAAATTCATTTTTAAATATTAAGCATTTGAAAGATTAATTTTTATTAAGTATTTTAAAGGTTTATTATTACACGATAAAAATTATATTTATAATGTATAAAATTTTTTCATTTTTAGTTTGTATGTTTAAATACAAATCAGATTATTAAGTTAAATGTCAACAAATAGTATACTTGTTTTAAATGTATAGTTTTCTTTCTTGTATTCAATTAAAATTAAATTTATTGGCTAATGAGAATAAATTCATATTATTACAATTTTGCCTAGCAACGAGTTTGAATAAAAAAATATTAACATTTCTCTGAAACGAGAAGTTTTAATTCAAATGTGAAAGTGAATTTTGAAAATGCATTTGAAATATCTTTTTCACTTATTCTTATTTATTACTTAAATTGCATTTTACTTTAATGTTCAGTTAATTTATTAGCAATTTATGAACATCTCCAAGTATTATAACAATTGTTATTGTTATTGTTACAATCGATACATCTGAATGGTTAATTGTATTTCCGTCATAATCACAGGAATTGAACTTCAAGCCGTAAGTGAATTATATATATATAAATAAAGTGGCTATGGGTTCTTTCTTGAAAAAGTTTTTATATAACCTTTTTTTTAGATAATAAATTTGAAATGTATAAATATTTCATAAATTTCAGGTTTAATATCACATGTTTATACAATTTTAATTTTATGTAGCGTAATTGTTTTAAGAACGGGTTTTTAAAATATATGTGTGTTTATATTCTATAAAAAACCAATTAGAAATCGTTTCATAAAAGATTCATGTAGATCGTATAACTAGTACTTACTATGATAGTTCAATGATGGTATATTAGTCTATAAAATAAAATCATTTAAATTTCATATCTAGTTTTAGGATTCGATTCATTATAATAAATCTGTCGAACAATTTTGAAGTTCAATAAACATTGAAATGTTTTATAACTATTACCCTATTCTAATTTGTTTGAATCGTTAAATAGGAATTTATTTAAAAAATGAAAAAATCAAAGCTTTGACTATTTATTGGCTATAATGCAGTAAAATAAAGTAATTTGCTAATGTTACCATAGATATTTGTTTTGATTATAAAAAGTTTTAAGTAAATTATTTATTATAAAATTAACGAAGTGGTTTTTAATTAAATTGAAATTATGGTAGAAAGCCTTCTATAAATACTACTATGTACTTTATAAAATACAAGTTTTTTTTAATTGTGCGTGTTTTTCAGATTTATCGGTAATTCTCAGTACTATGACATAAAGAAAATTACCAAATTTAAATAACAATGAAGTTTGATGTTGTATGTTAATTGAATGAACGAGATAAAAAATAAATCAGAGTACAGCGCTAACAATTTTTACTATCTGGCAATTTTAACGTGGGTGTAACGTGAAGTGAAGCGAAACATTACAATTGTATCAAATCGTACAGAAATATCAAGTGAAGTATTTGTTAGAAAAAATGTAATTGGCGTTACAGTCTCTGA